GCTTTCATTTGGTTATATTTATTTACTTGACTGTAATATAACAGACAGCATTTGGCAAGTTCAAAGTTTGCTAATATTAGCCTTATCACTTTAGGTTCGTAAATGGTTCAGCTTCCAAAGGTTAACTAATATGTAAAATAAAAACATTTTAAACAAAATTTAGTCCCGAGTAAAGTTTAAGAGATGCCCCACAAACTGTGTAAAGGACATGTTAAGACAATGTTCGGTACGTCCATACGTCTCATGGCCACCGCTGAAGGCCCTGTGGCCGAATATTCAAGTTTTGCAAATTTTGAAGAAAAGAAAAAGGAAATCGAACCTTTTGATGTCATTTGTGAAAATAGTTAACCAAATGGGTTCTTTTGGTCAAATAAGAAAAAATTTGATATTTTGCTTCTGTTGGCCGATTCTCAATATTTTCAGATTTACGCTTTTAAATATTCCTTTGGTTTGTAAAACATTTAATAGTGAGTTTACATCACTGTATTCCATTTGATAAGGTTCATTTGTTTTGGTGACGATTGCATGCACAAACTTGATGATGAATGTTTGCTGACATGGCCAGAAAATTTATAAGTACAAAATTTTTGAATGGAAAATTTAACAAATCAGTGAACTGGATTGCTAGAACGTTAAAACATTTGTGGGTTTCAGTAACTGCCTTACATACTGTTTAATTTACAATTGTGTATGTGTTTTCCTTGAAGGATCTTATCCATGGAGCTCCTATTGGCAAGCCTGTAGCAAGTACAGGCATGGTCACTGCAGTTTATGCTGAGGAAGATGGAACAGAAATCAACTTTACTAGGAAGTATGATTATAATTGATATGGATTGTCATCTTAGTTTGCATTGATATACAACACTTGGTTTTACTATTCCTAATATATTATTGAATGCCTTTTTTTAATTGTAGGATTGTTGGTAGTGGCACTGAGTACAGAATCGATAGCAAGATTGTATCTCCACAACAGTACACTTCTAAATTGGAAAGTCTGGGTATTTTGGTGAAAGCCAAGAACTTTCTTGTGTTTCAGGTAATGCCAACTTTATGGTGTGGTAGGTGAAAGCTGGAAAATTGAAGTACAGTCGAACCTCCAGTTGCAACCACCTCTCGTAAGCGTCCAGTTTTCCAAAATACCAAACGTTTCCAAGTCAAACCACTATACTTGGAACCTCTTGTAAGGGACCACCTCTCGTAAATGACTGTGACCACTTTTAAAGCTTAAAGTGTGAAATTTTCTTTTGTTTTTAACCTCCTGTAAGCAACCACTTGACAGCTAATAGAGCGAAAATTGGATGATAAGGTGTTGTAACATTATTGCATATTTCCTGGGCAGTACAAGAATTGCAAATATCTCGATTGGAAGTGCAAGGTTTTTTTGGAATTGACTTTTCAATACTTTGGGAAGCTTAAGTATTTTTTTTTTGCTTCAAAAAAAGTTATTACAATGGTCTTAGATGGACAATGGATGATGGGGTAAGTCTCTGCAGTTACCATATGCTGATGAGTCAAGGTTTTATCCAATGTAGACTAAGCTCTCGCAAGTGACCAGGCTTGACATTTTGGGTGGTCGCTCATGAGAGGTTCAACTGTACTTTTTGTGATTTTAAACACAAGGAATATTATATCTTCTTGTTAGCAAACCTTTAAAGTACAAGATACAGCTTTTTAGAGAGCTGTTGTGGTATGATGAAACAGGTCTTTGAAAAGTTGTATTAAGTTTTATGAAATATTAATTACTGTTATCCTAGAATTATGTTGATCTATGCATTTGAAGTTTAAACCATTGTGTATTTAAAGGCCTTGAAATAACTAACTAGCAGGTGTCTGTCATGTTGTCTAGTCAAGTGTTTAGTTGCTCAGACACGACCTGTTTTTGACCTGTCTAATATAGAATCAGTCCTAACTTTTGCAAAGTGAACCCTGAAGTCCATTAATTGTTGCTTAGATACTAAATGAGTTACATGTACCTAGTAATCAGTGAAAACCTCTGACAAAAACTACTTAGTTTTAGGTGACTTGACAGTGAAAATTGCAAGTTATCATTTTTACCTTGCTTTATTGTAGAAGCAGTGTTGTGCTAATTTTTATTAATATGAAGTAGAGACATTGTGAAAGGTTGCTTGTCTCAACTAATCACAGTTTGCACTTCATTAGTTTGGCTGGTGTTTCTCTTCTAATTTGCATTCCTAACAGGAATGATATATTTGTGACTGCCAAGAACTGTTCAACCACTAATCTATCTTGGAAAGCAAATAATTATCATACAGTGTAATATTTCACTAGTGTAAAGTTAAACTTTCTTGAAACAGAGAAATGGCCTGACTAGGTGACTGGAAATCCAAGGATTTGACCAGCCAATACTGGCCTGTGTTACAGCCACCTTCCCTGATGCCTTTTTCTGACTGGATGTTGTCCATTGACTGGCCTGTATTTTAAGCCCTGTGTTAATCAGTGATGCTTTAGTGTGGTCATCTTTGTGTAATAGGGCTCAAATTATCATAAGTTTACGCCTTTGTTATTTAGGGCACTGTTGAATCAATTGCCATGAAGACTCCAAAGGAGAGAACACAAATGTTTGAAAAAATAAGCAGGTAGGAAAAATAACTATTGTTTATCCGCATAGCAAGAACATTTCTCCTTTCTCTCAACATTTGAAAGGCTTGATGGAAAAAACGGTGTTAGGTATTTTTGGTCTTAAGTGAACTTTGCCAAAAGCTCTCAAGAGTTTGCATGTGGTTTCGTTTAGGTCTGTTTTTTTTCCCCTGAAGTTTGCTTCGTTTTCGAGACATTACATATGCAAAACACTTGTATTTGTTTTCACCTTAGCATGTGACAGCAAAGATGTTGATTTCACCTAAGTAAACAGTAAAATGTTGATTTCACGTCAACGCGCAACTTCCGAGGTGTTGATTTCACTTCAAAAACAGCCAAAGGTAGATTTAACATTAATTTGTGACTGCGAAGATGTTGATTTCATTTAAAAAACAGCAAAATGTTGATGTCATGAGTATGCATGACTGTTGAGATACTCATTTCACTTAAGGAACAGCAGAATGTTGATTTCATGTTAACGTGTCAACTCAAAAATGTTGATTTCGCATGAAAAACAGTTAGAATGTTGATTTCATGTTAAAGCGTGACTGCAAAGATGTTGATTTCACTTATCCATTGACCCCCATGCTGTCCATAACCGTCTGTTACAAGCATTGGGCTCTGTTCCACTTCTGACATTATCACCTTTGACCAAAATTGGCATCACCTGTACTCAAGTTCTGCAGCAGAAAAAGATTTTTCCAATGAAACCCAGATCAGAGTGATTGGCTCAATGGAACCTGAAATATGCACTCAAATTTCTGAGCATTTTCGTACATATTTCAGGCTTTATGGAGCCGATCATTCTGATCTGGGTATCGTTGGAAAGATCTTTTCCTCCTGCAGAACTTGGGTTTAGATGATGCCAAGTTTGGTCAAAGATGATGACGTCAGAAGTGGAACAAAGGTCAACGCTCCTCATGACCGGTTATGGGTGGCATGGGAGTCAATAGGTTAAATGAATAATTCATGTGGTAACAGAGTATTTGGAATGGACTTATTTTGCTGTGAAATTTGGACAGGACATTCACTGATAAATAAGGAAGATAAACGTATTGGCAAATTCCTTTAATTTGAATACTTTTCCTGTGGAGTCCTTTACCACAACATGTTTTGTAAATTGTTTGATACTGGCATTTAACAGATCCATAAGCAGATAACCATCACAGGAAAATGCTCACACTTTGGAAGATTAACACTGCACATTTACATGTATTTGCATCATTGATCATATTTGATACTAATTAATTCCACATAATGTCACTCGGTCATTTTGGTGTTTTCGGCCTCACACTGCCTTAAGAAAAGAATCACTAAAGTAGAGCATAATTTTAACAAATTCTACACGGCTTTTCTATAGACATATAGTTTGAAGAAGTTTCATTGAAAACAGTCTGTCTACAATTTTTTTTCTGATGAATAACCACAAAGGTGCAGAGAAACGTTAATAGATTTTCTGATAGCCAGTTTCAGTGTAAAGCCATTTTGGTTTTTATAATATTACAGATCTGGAGAACTTGCAGATGACTATGAGAAAAAGAAGGTAGAAATGCAGAAGGCAGAAGAGGAGACCAGTTTTAACTATCATAAAAAGAAGGTACTCAAATTATCACCTGTGGGCTTGTACATGTTTTTTACCTTACTGTCCCAAATGTTTATGAACTGGAGGTGTCCTCACTACACTGTACATATCATTGTCAGTATGTGTCTGATAAATTTATTCCACTGAAAAAAAAAATTAGGATTTCGTTTAGTTTAAATTTTGTTTGATTTTTTAATCCAAACAACTTGCCTTCTCTTGGAGGTTTAAGTTTGCATACATACATGTACCAATCCTTTTTTTTGTCAAGTATACTTTGAAAATGGTTTTAGGGAATTGCAGCAGAGAAAAGAGAGGCAAAAGCAGAGAAAGAGGAGGCTGATAAATACCACAAGCTGAACCAAGAACTGGTGAGTCATTGGTTGCTAGTGAAGAAACATTTTCCATATCTCTGTTGAGTCATGGAGACACAAGGAGTAGTTTGGAAAGGTAGAAATATTGAGCCCCAGGCAAGTGTTTCTTCTTTTGTTTTGAGTTATCGTAAACTTGCACTAGTCCTTTTTTACTTGATAAAAACACAGACAAAGTGTTTTCCACGTCTTTTTCAAAACACTGCAATAAAAAGATAGTAAAAGCACTGAGATGTTTTGGTTATCAAAGTGTACGTATGTTAATGCTTTTAGTCGCACCATACTCAATTCAAGAGTTTGAGCTATTTCAATTTGTTTCTATCAACTTATTGACTCAAGTACAGGTTTAAGCACCACTGTTTGTCAAAACTGGCCCAATCCCCCACCTGGGGGTAAGGAACTGAAGAAGTTTCTAAAGTGTATTCAATCATCAGGAGAAGATACATGAAGCCCTTCCTTTTGATGTATGTTGTCAAGCTCTAATACTAGGAATATGTTGTAAGAGAAACAGCTAGGAAGCCATTTAACAGGAAGCCATTGATTGGGAAGAAGTGGTGGACCATGTTGAAAATGTCGGGAGTGGGAGGATGGTTCATTAGCTAAGATTGACTTCTGGCAAGGACAAAATATGTCAATCCAGGGTTTCAATGAGACAGCTACATCTAGTATTATTACATCTACAGTCCTGGAAATATTTTGTTTACTAAGCAGGATATGCATTCTTTCAAATCTCTAGTTTGACCATAGATATAAATTAGAAATATGGTTGGATTCTAATTAGCATTTTATGTAATTGGCATGCACAGAGAAATTGGTGACCAAATCTGGAGCCCTACATGTACATATGACCCTTAAAATAATTATGTATTTTACTTCTCTATAAGACACTACTTCCATAGCATAATTTTTTCAGCTATATGTTTGACTATTTAGCATTAACTATTCGATGTTGTTCATCAGTTTAATAAAATCATCCTCTAATGGTTAATTCGCAAAATTGTTGTTGATGAGATGTCTTATAACAGAATGGCTGGAAACATTGACAAATATGTTTGCTTTATAAGCTTAAGCTCTTGCAACTTAATAGTGTACAAGATATGCATAGGTGATGCTATTCTTTCTAGAATTATGTTATTTGCTTTTAAGTTATGCACAGAAGACTACTATAAGTTAATGTTGGTTATACTAACAGGATGTGAAAAATATTTATATTCCCACTTGCCTTTTGGGTAAGTAACTCTTAATTTTGCTTGATTCAAATGTCACTTTCCTTGCCATAAGTGATAGGAATGCACGACTAACATTGTGTGATAGATACAAAGCTATGTATTATCAGGCTTATATCCGTAGTTGTGTGTCCCTTTGTTGGCATAGGTCAGTCTTGCTGTGAGCTGAGCTTGTATATTTATATTATCTGTGTCAGCTTTCATGTTTGTATACTTGCTTGCTATTTCCTGAATCATGCACTGAGTATCTTTGTTTTTATACAAAAATCCTTGTAACAATGTTTTCAATCTGTCGAAGGTCGTGTTCATTGCCTTGAACATTAAGGAATCCACCAGAGTAACAAGTAGACAAATGCTTTGTGCCAAGATTATTTATATTGTATTGCAACCTTCTGAGCGACTGTTTTAAATATCTTCTCAAAAGAAATTATTTCTAGCAATACCAAAGGTCAAAAACAGATTTTGTAGTTCATATGAAACACTTGAAATTACTGGTGAAATGAAACTGTTGATGAAATTCTATCTGTGATTACACAATTTTCCTGAACTTTGACATTTATTTTCTTAAGTTTCCATGGGAAATTGTTTTCGGTGTTATTTCAGGCAGTTACTTATATCTGTAGCTTTTAGCAGATGCAGAAAGGACCGTAATATACGTAAACTTATTCCCGTACAAGGTTTTTGTCCACTAACAACTGAAATTGTTGATTTCCTATAGCTGGTTTTCACATGACATCACCAAAATTCAAACTACAAAACTATTGATCTTCCTGAGATTCTACTTAAATGATGTATAACAGCAGCTGAAAACTAATATTCATACAAATATTCGCTCCAAATGGGTTCTTGGTTTTTTGATACACTACGCTTGAATTTGTAAGCTTTGCGTGACGCGGCATTTACATGACGGCCTAGAGAGCTGTCATGATGGTTAAAAAAGTGACTTATTTTGGGGAACTTGGCTATCTGAACAGNTTCTCTGCATATCTTGCATAAGAAAAATTGCTGTGACCAGAGTTTTGGCGAGAGTCTTTGCATATTTACCTTCTTTCATTTCCCAGATTCTGGACTTTGATTTTTATTTTGATCTATTTTGAATCATGTGACACTGAAAACCAGCAACTGGATTTTGTCCAGGCATGGTGTCAAATTTGTAAAGCCAGCGAGTGTATATTTTTGTCAGTTGAGTGAATGAAAAACAGTTTTGGTTGAGTGAAAATGTCTTCATCTGAATGAAAAACTATTTTCTGTCAACATCCATGAACACTGAAAGTTTTTTTGATGACTTACTAATCAATTTCTTTTTTCAATAATGTTAATAACACTTTTTGTTTCGGCTGCACCCAAGTATATTTCTACCAGAAAACTTGTATGTTTCGCTGAAGAAATTTGCCCTAGGGATTTAGCTGGATTTGTTCATTAAAAATGGTGGTGAGGGCTTCCTTTTTGCTGTAGAAACATATGGCTCCTTTTTGTGTTCAGTTTCTACAGCTTCGATACATTGATTTCAAGTTTGGTTCATATACAGTGAAACTGAAAAATTGTTGCAAAAAATGTTGAAATTTTAAGAAATATACATGACATTTTCGTGCCCAACACGGCTATTTTTTGGCATGAAAAGAAATTTGATCAGGGAAGATTTTGATCTCATGCTACTGGTTACCACTTCTCAACTGTGAACGTGCATTATGCAATCAACAAAACAATGCTGTAATTTGTAATTTTCGTCAAGCTTCATCAAAACACTTGATTATACCCATGTGTGTAAAACTTACTCTTTGTTTCAAAATCGTTATCAAAATTTATTCAGTGGATGGCTTGCGTGGGTTTTTGTCCGTGAAGCTAGTGAGGAGAGAAAGGTACTTGCCCAAGAGGAAACTATACTTGTCCTGGACTAGTAGACGGGGTTTTTTTTTTCCGAGCACTGCTAAGTGAAAGATACATTACAAATGGGATCACACACCCAAGCATTGTGCACCTTTCGTAGTGGTAGGAGAAAACATGTAGGACCCATGCATTCATTCTCTTCCCCGTTAGTTACTTTTTGCCAAATTCAGTACAGCAATAAACTATTAAAGGTAATTCTATTTTTATTATTTTTCTGATTTGCAGGAAGATTGTCAGTTGGAGATACAATTGTTCAAGTTGTACCACAATGAGCAAAGCATTAACCACCTGACTAATGAACTGAAAGCAAAATCTCGAGATCTGGACAAACTTGAGAAGAAGAAGAGTGAAATTGACCAGCAGCTCAAGAGTAAGAAACAGGAGAATGCAAAATTCTCTAGGGAGATGGCATCTGTAGAAAAGAAAATAACTACAAAGGTATGGACAAAGCAGCACACTTTTTCATATAACTCTTAAAATGTTTGTGTGATAGTTTTTTTTGAAAGTCTGGGAATAAAATGATACCAATGAAATTTAAGTATAAAAAATAAAATAACACTTTCAAATTAGAGTAGGCATTTTTTCGAGATTTCTTTTTTCTTCCTTTTTGGTCTTCATTTTGCAAGTATCCAATCCCAGCCATGAAGAATGGCCACAACAACAGTAGCAACAATAAACTACAAAAACTTTATTTGTACCCAGCAAGAATTACATTGGTTAAAAAATAATTATCAAAATAAATTAAAAAGAATACATGCTACCTTGAATAACCATAAGGGACTAGAAAAACAGAGCAGCCATAAGAAGACAATGGGTGCTTTTCTCAAGTCAGAACAGCCAATCACCACCCTAATTTAGAACCTAATTTGAGGACGTTTTGTGGATATGCAATGGTAAGTTACTGTGATGAGAGAAAAATTACCTCTCTCAGTACTTCCAATTCCCATAATCCTTTAATGTTAATAAATAAACAAAATGATGGCCGTTGTGGCCAAGAATAGTGCACCTCAAAAGCAGTCCAAATGACACAGATTACAGTACTAGCAAAATATAAAATATAAGGTGTTAGTCTTGACTCAAAACTTGATCCAGGATCCTCAGTCCTTTTGAGAATCAAGATACTAGTTTTGAGATTTAAGTTCTGAGTTTTGAGTCACTAGTTTCAAGTTTTGAGACACTGGAAGTATATGTCTGTGGTATTCCTAAGGTTAGAACCTCAAGGGTGGGTGGGTGGCTTTCCTTGATCTCCTTGGTGATGGCTGTGGCTGAACAGGACTGATCCTCAACTGGGCTTGCACTTGCTCCCATCTCCGGGCTGTGTGTGGGTTCTTCCACACCTGTGTTCATGGGGTACTTCTGCAGGATCTGCAAGGCTCGATCCCTTAGTCTGCGTAACTGGTGTGTAAATTGCTTGACATGATGGCGGTTTCGCTTGTATTCCACGCGTTGAAATGACTTAAGCTGATCACCATGACATGCCGTCACCTGGTATGGCTCTTTTTCCTGGTATGGCTCTTTTTCCTCGTATGGCAACAATTCATTTTCCTTCCTCTTCTCCAGTAACACAAAATCCCCATCTTGTATTCATTTCTCTGCCGCCTGGCACTTCTCTTCAGCATGATCTGCACCTACATGTAGTTGCTTTTTTCTGCATCACAACGTCTGGTTTGCTGACGTCCTGCGTCCTTAGATTCTTCCAGATCAGCAACTTGTGGCAATGTGGTGGACAAATTCCTCCAAAATAGTAATTCTGCTGGGCTCTTGCCAGTCATTACATTTGAAATGGAGTGATAGGCCAAAAGGAACTTGTGTTCAGATTTTATCTCCAGTATCTCTTCTCAGAATGGGCAACTCTCACTGCTTTCCAACCCAATACCCCAACACCCCAATACTCCAATACCCCAATACCCAATACCCAATACCCCAATACCCCAATACCCCAATACCCCAATACCCCAATACCCCAATACCCCAATACCCCAGTACCCCAATACCCCAATACCCCACTACCCCAATACACCATTACCTGAATACCCAATACCCCAATGGACCAATACCCCAATGCGCCAATACCCTAATACCCAATACCCCAATACCTCAATACACCATTACACAAATACTGTGGAATCTGGTGACCAGCAACCTAGCCTCACTGCGATACTTTTAACCTGCGGTGTGCGTTCGGCGCATGTGTAGAGAAAACAAAAAAAACAACGCGCTCAACTGCAGGAGAGACCGCCATGTTGGAACTTTGTACTCGTTGTGTACTTGTTGCGTTGTCATTAAGTGTTGTCACTTTGTTCTATTCCGTTGGAAGTTTGTGATTCTGTGTTAAATTCAGTCTTGTGGTTTACACAAATACGTTATACCTGAAACCCCAATACACTAATATTCAATACCCCAATACCCTAAAAACCCAATACCCCACTACCTCAATACACCATTCCCCCAATATTCAGTACTCCAATACACCAAAACCCCAACACACCAATACCCCAATACCCCAATACCCCAATACCTCAACATTCTAATACACCAATACCCTATGACTCTAATACTATAATACCCTAATACCCTAACAGCCTAATGCCCTATTACCTAAATACCCTAATGCCCTGATATTGTTATACCCTAATGCCCTAATACCCCAATACCCCAACACACTAATGCACTAACCCTAATAGTATTCTAACACCCTAACCCTGGATACAGCCGGGGCGCCTAAAATTTGATTTAACCAATCAGTATTAAGTAGGTGGGAAAAACTCTTCTGTCTTAAATTTAATGTATATTAAGAGGAAAAACATTGAAGTCGTGCAACTTCTCTCACTGAAGACCACATCAAATGTTTATTAAAAAGAATTTATAATTCCAAAAACCATTTCAGACTGTAAAAAGTGAAAATTAGGAGGCAGTTTGTATCTCTAAGTTTCTAAGTTGGTGTCAATGGCCGGCAACTCGATTGTCACCAGGTAGGATGATAGTTGTTTAAAAATTGAGTAAATGTAGTCAAGAGATGACATAGCTGATAAAAGTGTGTTTTTTTTTGTCACTGACTTGTATATGTTAGCAAGACATTTTGGCTAACTCTTAAGTGTTCATCAGTTGAAAAACCGCTTGATGTTACGCGTGATTTGAAAACTTTTTAAAATTGAAATGTGGCGTGTGACTCGAGAGAATTTTAAGTGCATGCTAAGCACTTGTAGACTTCTGGCTGGCTATGTGATCATTCCTAGCATTCACGTCTTTTAGAGACATCCAAGCTTCTAGAAAAAGCCGCTGATGGTAATGTGCCTCATGTCCCACGACTTCAACATTTTCAAAATCCATGTGATGATGACATTTGTGAACATGGCATGCAAGTTTGGAGTTATGATCAAACATCAAGACAGCCTTTTTGTGCTCGGAAACCCACATCTTCAGTGATCTTTTGGTCTAGCAATAGTATACAAAATCACACTGACTGTTATTCTGAACAAAATATCTAACTCCTCATTAAATTAAAAGCAGAATTCTCAAGTTAACTATTATATGAGCCCAACGCAACTTTAGCATTCTCTTTTCTAACCTGGAGATTTCCTGCAATCTATAGGGTTTTATTGATGGTACAGATTATGCAAATGATATGCAAATGATGTCCTTCCATCATCTGTAAACTTTTTGGAGTAATTCTGCTGACCAATAGATAAAGCTTCTGAAATCAATGTATTTGTCAATATTGCAGGCACATGTATTGTTTTACATTACTAGGTCTAGCTGTGATTGTTGCACTAAAAATAGAAACTTGTTTTGTTTGCTTTCTGTGTATAGTTCATTTAACATTTCTATTACAATTCTAACCTTAAATTAACAGCTTACTCTAAATAAGACCAAGTATTGGCTTTTGTGATACACATTGGGAAGGTTTTTGATGACAGAGGTGAAGTTGCCGGAAGATGCAATTGTAAAATTTTTGCTCCGAAGTTTGAAGTTTAGTAAAGATTGACTAGAGGCAATCCTCCCTACATATTGATGGTACTAGTGCTGGAGGGTTGACCTCCTGAAATTATATTTCGGAAATCAAAGCGAACAGTTTCGTTGAGGCCACCGTAGCATTTGTCGAAAAAGTCGGTAATAAAGAACACTGCAGTCTTGCGAGCTTCTTAAAGGCTCAAAATTATGCCAGGTTATAAATTTCAACCACGGGCTTGGAATCCACTGCGAGAAAATCCTGCTCAGTCTTGAGGACAAACTCACATAAGTCGCATTGGAAGACAAATCCCATATAGTGGGAGTGAGGAGAACTAGATAGAACTTCACAAACTGAAATGGAATCCGAGCATTAAAATTTTGCCCAAGGACAAAAATTTTTGGGCTAGTTCAAGCTGATACACTTTGACACTTGAATAGACTGATGAGCTATTATATTGCAAATTCACACAACAGCTCTCTTGAAAAGCTTTATATGTCTATATTTAGTAGATTTAATCATCACAACACGATCGCATGTGCACAGTTTAATTTTGATGTCATTTGAATCAACAAAAAATCGATTTGCGCTGCAATTGTGTGGTGAATTTAACTGGAAAAAGGTAAAATAGGACTCCTGTGTTCCCCATGTACTAGCCACACTAATGTGGAAAGCTTTATATGTCTATTTATAGTAGAGTAAATCATCGCACCATGGTCGCATGTGTACAGTTTGATTTTGAGGTCATTTGAATGAACAAAAAATTGGTTCACGCTACAATTGTACAGCAAATTTAACTGGAAAAAAGGACAAATAGGACTCCTCTGTTCCCTGTGTACTAGCCACATTAAACGTCGGGATCCCGGAAGTTTTCATTTTAAGAGATTATATGTTGGATATTTGTTAGCTAATTCGCATATTTGCTAGCCAATTTGAGATAAGGCTGAAGTACTTTGTGTCTTTCACCCTTAAAGCAGGGTTTCTTACGTGTTACTATGGTTAACACCCACGTTCCAATCTAGTGGACCTGAGTTAGATCCTGGGATTCGGTGGCTTTTTTTTTCGTTTGTTGTTTTAAGCCACTGGTCTTTTCTTTTCTTATGTAACCCTTTTTTGCTGAAGGACATCCACAAGTAGCTATATGTACTTATTTCAAGCTTGGAAACGATAAGAACATGGTTTTTGATGTTATGCAACCTTGCTGTTTCGCATAATCAACCTCAAATTGCATCTGATGGTTTAGATGTTGTGCGTTTATAATTCACCTAAAAATACTCGATTTCTCTGAAGATCTTTTGCAGCTACCAGATGTGTATGAATACCTCTATATTTCAAAAGTGTCAAAGTGATCGTGGAGTAAATTTATTTTTGAATCACCACCCAGATTGATGTTATTCCACAAGAAAATTAGCGTTTGCATTTTCTTGCTGGTTGAGCTTGTGCATGTTTACCAAGTGCCAACCTACTGCTGTATTGCTAGGCATACATGCGCCTGCCTTTAATCACAAACAAAATCCAGCATGCATCTGAGTTACATACAATTTTAAGTTATTCCTGCTGGTTATTTGTGCATTATTTGCACTGCAAACTTTCAAACTGGACTCAAAGGGCAAACAAAAGACTGATACTGCAGCAAAGAACAATGGTGGGTTTTCTGAAAAAGAAAAAAAACTGACGGTGAGGAAGTGCTCGAAGAATCAGTGATCGACTCAAATGTGGAGGGTCGATCAGCACGAGCGTGGATGTCCTAGTTTGCTGGCATGACCAAATGATTAGTCAGTTCTGGTTCTGCTTTTACTTTTCTTTCCAAAGTACTGTAAACACTTTTTACTCAAACTTTTCCTTAATAATTGGGGATGAAGAAAAGAAAAAAAAAAACTCTGGTTGAAAACTACCAAAGAAAGATCAAACACATGTCAAAGTCGGTAGACATCATATCCATACTATTGTAGAACTAAAATTATAGGTAAGACAGGTAAGGGTTTCAGTTTGAAGTATTCTTTGTTTTCAATGTTAGGGAGTTTATGCTGGTTTACCTTCAATAACTTTTTCCCTAAATTTGAGTTGTCAAACTTGGGTCACAGCTTATCTTTGAGTGTGGCTTATTTGCAAGTGTTCACGGTAGTAAGATCTACACAACACAAATGGCATAAGTTTTTACTTCCTCATAATGATAATGCCTTTGTTATGCCAGTACAAAAATAACTTGAGGGAAATAAAGTAGAGAAAATGTGGGTTTTTTGGAACATGACTGAATGTTGACTGTTCTGAAACAAGGGCAGTCATGGCTCAGCCAGCTAAAAAGCTTTAGAGGGGAGGATTGGGCTCATGGTGTTGTGCACATTTTCAATTACACTTCAGGATTAAACTGGGAAAAAATTCCTTATAATCCCTTAAAATTCTTGGCATTTTGAACTTTTCCAAAATTGATTTTTTTTGCAGGAAATATCTCCAAGATAATGCATTAAATACCATTCCAGAGGTTCTCAATTTTAATTTGTTCTGGGGAGCATCAGGTTTTTCATACATTTTTCAAGTAGAAGGGCATCTGGTATAAAGTAGGCAGGTACCTGAATTAGGCGAGGGCAAAAGGCCTGAGCACTTAGGGGTTCCAGGGGCATGCTCCCCTGGAACATTATGAAAACTTGAACTGTCTGGGAGGGAAATTCTCGTTTTGTCATTAGTCCTTATTTACAGAATTCTACTAGAATTAACCAGTGCTAGACATTATGGAATCGCTCACTAGAAGTAATGCATTACCCATTCCATTTTGGTTTTATTCTCTGGCGCTTTTAGTTTTAGCGAAGCCTGTAAGTCCTGAATTTATGTTTTTCTATTCGGCAGATAGGAAAATGATATTTAAGCCTGTGTTGCAAAACATTTAGCTTTTTATAGGCTATTCGAATAAAGCAGTTGTGCTATGTGTAAATTTCATGTTCAGGTTCAATGAGCTGTAATGGAAAAGCAAAATAGTGCTTATGTAAGTTGTTGTTACTGATATACTGCCATGCAAAACTTGAAATATGTTAAATTACTGAAACTAACCTTTTGACCTTTTGGACACAACTGAAAAAAAATATTATCCAGGATGACTTGAGATCTACGTTTGCTAGCCATGATGAATTTTACCATTTTAATGCACAGAACTGTGAGAATGCACAAGCTTACAAACATGCGGCATGTCAGATGCAAGAGTTATGTAAAAGCAAAGGCACTTCACAGGAGAAAGGCCCGATAAACACAAAGTGCAACTGCCAAGAAACACTTTTCTTGCAAAACAAAACGATGCGGGGTAATTGACAAAAAAGGGCTTTTAAAGGTAATATTCAAGTCATGAAGAATAGTTAAAATTTATTTGAGGCTGACATGTGTATTTTGTTTTAATTTTGTACTTGACATACTTAAAGAAGCCGGGTACTCCTTTCAAAGTAGACAGGTGCCAGTACCCGGGTCCCGGCTTCTAATAACAACCCTGGGAGCATGCCCCCAGACCTCCCCAGACACTCGTATATTATGCACTTGAGTTACTGTCAGAGGTTTTCTTCATGAAACTAGCCCTTACTCCCTAAAGTAATGAGGACCCTGACTTGTTGTAATGCCATTAACACTTATTTCTGGCACAGGTTCTTGAAAACTTGTAACAATACATGTTTATTCGTGATTCTCATCCACTGTGAATGCAACAATACAGTCCTACTTGCTGTCAGATACCTTTTGATCCCCTACAAAGTTAGCATTGTGAAATGGACATCTATCAGAAAAACTCCTTAGCTAACTCGTTTTACCTCTGGTTGCATAAGTATAATCACTCTTTCCGGGGCAGCGCAAAGCAATGACCATACTTCTCACACTTTGAAAAACTTGCCAACCCACTGTTGAATTCAGAAGTGAATTGGAATGAAATTGTTGGAAAGAAACTGTGTTCATTGTCAAGCATTTCTTGGTATTTTTATTGTTTACAAGGCTGCTGCCTAATGGGCGCCCGGTCGCCTGAGGCGCCTAAGTTATGAGTGCGGGCGACTAAAGTTTTGTTCAAGGAGCCCGAGTGGGTGCCTAAACATGGAGTTTTCATTCCCATCTCATCTATCTGATGACTTCAATCTTCTTATGAAATTGGCGAAAAAATCATTCACACAATAAATTAAACGGAAAACAACAGTTTCTCTGGTCCTGTTTTGCTTTTAACACGAGAAATATGGGCCAAAACACGGCAACAAAGTCTCTCTCAGCTCACAAAACAACTGAAAACAGCCATATTTGAAAATTGCCCAACAATGCATTGCAAGCTCAGTATTGAATAAATGCACGTCATGTATGCCAATGGATTGTGTCTCTGTTGATGCCCTACTGATTCCAGTTGCAAAATAACTGGGGGGGAGGGGATACTGCCATATATGGGCTATATAGGTATGTGCCGCTGTGAAGGGTATGGTTTTCAAACAGTTTACTCTAGCATAGGGTATATAAATCAGAGCGTTTGGGTCTAAAATAGGGTATCATTTTTCATGATACTGACCAGTTGGTTGAAGATTTTATCTAAACTAAAGAAACCAGGAATTGTCAATCAAAAATATGAAAAAATAAAATCAGCAAGTTTAAATTTTTGTAACTCAGCCTCAACATCGTTGATAGATGACTATCATAAAACACTACTGGATATTATTAACAAAAATCGCGGTTCAGACGGAAATAGGTGGTTTTAATACTGGTTACTTTAGTATAGGGTAGCAAAATTTAGCTGAACTAGCTCTAGTGTAGGCTAAGGGTTCCAGGGTCCCAGCGGCACATGCCCACCCAGAAATTCTTAAAGTACCCCCTCCCCCCCCCCTGGGGGGGGGGCAAAATAACTACTTTGAGAACAAAATTAATATTTTTGGAATTGGAGAGATGCTGCTGCTGACATTATATTTACAAATGAATAAGGATAAATTCTTGGGCTTTTTGTTTTGTCTGATACTTTGGAAAACTTCACTTAGCTTTACTGAATGAATTTCTGTAGTTTCTGAAAGGATATTCATGACTTAAAAGTTGATATATTCAAGTAGCTACAAGCCAGCAAAAAGAAAGCATCATTGCAATTCTTTTTGCATACCAGGATTTTATATATTAAATTATCAAATGAATTGTCGTGGCTCCGCCCAATATGCGAGAATATATTTTCTCCAAAGAAGCAGCTAATATGATGAGGTAATGCTTCCTAAAAAAGCACCTTTTGTTTGTACTTATGTCCCTGAAGCCCAGGGAAGGAAAGTACATTTCAGTGAGGCCAAATTCAAATGCCCCAAATACCTATTTCATTTTTAGTTTTCATTTGCAGCTTGCAGCTTTTGTAAAAAAAGCTGCAGCACTTGCATGGATACACCAATTATTGAATTTGTTTGACCACAAATAGTATTCTTTCTCAGTCATGACCTGATCACTTTGCTGAACACTTTATTTCAAAAATTTGATTGATAAAATAGACCATATTAGTGTTTCATAGAAAATCTCTGCCTCCGGACCCCTCCCCTAAATTTCCAAATTCACTCCACACCCCCCTGTCTTCCCCAGTCTCGCCAACCCCTAGGATTGACCTCGGCAAATTTATTCTGGGCTCCTAAAAAAGTGGCTAGGGCTCCTAACTTTTGAAATTAGGAGCCCGAAGGCCTCCTTAAAAATTTCCTTAGGCAACAGCGTTGGTTTATATATTTTTTTCTTATTTGAATAATTTTGCTATAGCTTGCCTTGTTCAAAAGGTCATCAATCAAAATTACTGTGCCAATTTCAAGTGTATACAATTAACAAAGGATCCCAGGCTTTTTTCCTGGATTTTCTACTGCAATTAAGGTACTAAAGGTCACTATTTGATTCACACACAAGTGTGTTGTCAAATATTTCTTGGTGAACCAGAGACAAAATGATGAAAAATCCTCAAAAATCATCAGTCATATACTTGAACAAGATTTGAACCCATGACCTTTGCAATACCAGTGCAATGACCAGCTGCCAGTTGGTTTGATAGCTCAGTTGGTAGAGCACTGCACCCCTATTGTAGAGAGCATGGGTTTGAGTTCGAGGCTGAAATTTTAGCAACTACCTAAGTTTTGAATTTAACTGCAATGATCATTTCAAACATATGATCTTTCATCTATTCACCTGCAGTGCCACATGGGTGCCGTACATGTAGTTGGAAGAAAATGTCAAAATTCTTACTACTGCATAGCGTCCTATCTTTGGACCTGTACATGAAGGATTTTATTTGTCATTATTTTGCATAATGCATTTTATTTTTACAGGAGGCTGAACTAAACAAGAACAGACCACAGTATATTAAAGCCAAAGAGAAAACATCTCATGTCTTGAAGCGGATTGAAACGTCCAAGTAAGGAACTGGAAAGTATATTGTAACCTGCTTTAAGTCAGGAAGTCTAGTCTTATTCTTGTTAGCTGTTCTTGGGAAAATATAATTCAGGGCTTGAAAATGTACTTTGGAAAAATTATGGAAAAACTTGGGTATTGAGTGTTTTATTGTTACGGTGTGCACTTTATCTTGGCGAGAAATAAAGTAATGTTTTGTCCTAATGTCCCACATAGCACTGTATTCTCTTTTGCTCAGCTCCCATTGGCAAAAGTTAACGTGGTGTCAGAGGTGAAATTAATTATGTCAAAAAGCTGCTGAGAAAGTCAACCAAAGTTTAGAGGTTTTTAGTCTTGGATTTTGCCATGCCATTTTTTCTTTTCTGTAAAGGAAAGCTTATGACAAGGCCAAGAATGTACATAAAAAACATCAAGCTGAGGTAAATGCTATGATTATATAAAAAGCTTCTTTTCTGTGTTAGAAAATAATAATTATTATTAAATCATCTACTAAGAATGAGAAGGATCTGCCTGAGTGTATTATTTTGCACACAATAGTTTTAGCTATGTTTACACTTTGCTGAAATGATTTGGAAAGAAATGAAAGTTTTTTTGTACATATATGTAGGTTGATGTTAAAGCCAGGTCTGGTTTGGTTTGGGATATGGTAGAATTATTGTTATTTTTTAAGTAACATAGCTTTACAAGCTGTATTGTTACTCTCCCTGGATGCCAATGGGATGTTAGGTCCATCATAGGTTTTCACCCCTCTTCCCCCTCTGCATGACTTCTTCACTCAGCATGACTTGCTAAGGCATTCTTGTGTAGAGGTGCAGCTACTTTGGGAGTGAAATGCCAAGCTCATAGCTGTGGTACTATGAGCTGCAGGCAAGTGTTTTAAGACTTTATTTGAGTAGTTCTCCCAAACCTTCAGTCTATGAGAGTTAAATGATCTGATTTAAACACACTTTACAAAGTAATATAAGAAAGAGAAAGGGAAATCAATCATTTATTGTAATGAGAAAAATACAGATTCCCTGAACTTCTGAAATGAGCAAGTTAATACCTTACATTAGCTCTGTGTTATATACATGTACAGTAGTACATGTTTTTTTTTTTTAAGCTCCTATAATGTTGTACATTACTTAATTTAAATCGTGGAACACCTGGAAACTAGCGAACAGCTAAGTGTGTACTTGTCCACATTAAATAAAGTATGTCTATGTCTATGTCTCAATGAAAATGAATAAAACATTCTTGAATGGTGTCACTTTTATAATCCTTAAAGATTAAAGAGCTTGAATATGAGCTGGAGGAAGTACGCAGTGCAGCTGAAAAATATGAGGAGGAAATTTTGGGAGCAAGTCAAGATGAAAATGTAGAACTTATGGACTCGCAGGTACAATCATTAGTAGATTAAGGTGGCTTACTACAGTTTTCCGAGACTCAGTAGCACTTGCGCAGACGTCAGTGTTAGTCGCACATGCACAAATGACGCAAATAACCCTAAGAAGAAATGAAAACCACATCAGCACTTTGATATACATAGTGATGGTGTTTAAGCGTAGGACCAATAAAATGTGACAAGAAAGGTTGATAAACAACAACAACAAAGGAGTTCTTAATTACTCTTGCTTGGGATACATGGCGTCACAGGAGTATGTGCATATATAAAAGGTATACGCAGTTCAATTCCCATCCAAGGTTGTAACTGCCAGTCTTTGAATGAAGATTGCTTGAAATCCTACTGCACAACCCATGATGAAATTGGCAAAATTTCACATTTTCTTAGTTTGCGAAAATCTGTCATACAGATTTTAATTTTACTTTGCATAAATGTTCAATCAGAGCCAATTTCTAATTTCTGAAATTTTGAGGCGGGGGTCCATTCCATTTATAGTTCCATTCATATACATGACTTGTTTTTATAGCTTGAACAGTATAATGCACTGAAAGAACAAGCAGGAAGGGAGACTGCAGCCCTCAAGCTACAGCTAGACAAGGTACAGTATGTACATGAATTCTGCAGGAACATTTCCACATTTCATCACCACCCTCTAAATGATCCTGGAGTGACAATCTCGAATGTTCACTGTGCAAATGGTTTTGTTTCCTGCAAAACTAGTGTAGCAAGAAGTTTTGAACTACTTAAGAAAGCTGGACTAACGACTCTATACACCTAAGGTTACAAGATTTGGCAATACTAATGTACAAAGTTAAACATAAACTGACACCAATCTACATACAGAATATGTTTGAAGAAAATAAAACGACATACCAACTTCAGAATGAAAATGATTTTAAGATACCAAGATTTCTGACTGTAAGATACGGGAAACACTCTATAAGATACATGGGTCCATACTTGTGGTCAAGACTTTCAAGAGATGAAAAGAACAGTGATACCTTTCATTCCTTCATATCAACTATAAGAAGAAGAGACATAGCATCTTTGCTTGGGGATAATTCTGAAAACTGTCCCTTATGTTTATCCTGACCTGACTTTCATATTTACTTATAAATATTTTAATATTTACTTATTAACTTTTTTAATATATACTTATTTATTTTTACATTCATAATTTCTTTTTTGTGTGTGTCCCCAATAAGCAGCAATGCTAAATACCCCAGACACGTTAATAAAGGTTTTTGTTGTTGTTGTTGTGGTTATAAATCTTGATATCATACAAATAATCTATTTAAAGTGCTCTTTATTTTATGACCTACCTTAAGATTGTTCGGGCACAAAGTTCCGAACAGGAATCTCTTGATCAGTTAAAGCAGAAGAAATCAGATCTCATGGCTCAGCAGAAACACAAGACAGATCAGAGGTGTGTATACCAAGATATCAAATGCCCACTGTTTTATCCAATTTTATAGTAACACGAGAATCCCCCACTTCCCAGAAATTCCAATCCCTTCTATGGGGGGAGTATGGATATTTTCTGGAACTGCACAATGCAGAACTGTGTTTAACAGATTTTCACCAAATCTAGTTCCTCTAATTGCATTTTCATGCCAAATCATGAAAGCTGAGTCTTGCAAAATTTGCTTCTTCCATTTTCCTGAAATCAAGTGATGGCAATAATAAGTGAGAATAATGTAATCATGTTTGCATTTGCAAAATTTATAGAGGGTTAACAATAGTGAAGCATAATATATCAAACTTAGTGAATATCAAGGTTAAACAATGTAGATTCCTGTAGCCAATAAAAAACAGAAACCTGTTAGTAATTAGTTTAGTACATTGGATTGAGCATTTCTATTCACCTGGTAACTTATCCAAACAGAGATTTTAATATCAGGAATGCACTCTATGTGTGCCAAATGTCAGGATATAAATCTGTACTTGTTTTCATGACAGGACACAGTTGATGGAGAGAATTGAAAAACTTGATGAGTATATCAGGTGTGTGTTTTAATAAGTAAATCTGTGATTTATTATTTGGTTGGCAGTTCGTTATGGTGAGTAAAACAATTAAAGTGCAACTGAAATGCAACTTTGATATAAGAGAGTTTTTGCTTCATAATAACGTTTGGACCTTACTTTAAAATGATATCACCTTTTTTTCACAAATGGCATGCAAAAGCTGTTTTTAGCTGTTTGTAGGCAAATGGTCGAGCCCAAAATTGGAGACCATTTTGGTGCAGCCAAAACTACCTTGTAACAATAATATTGTACAACTGTTTTGGCTTGCTGAAAATTAAGAGTGAATATGGAACAAGACACTTGTGGCTTGTGCCCTTGAACTTCATCTGTGGGGCAACTCAGAGCTGGTCTGCAGATATTTAGAGCTTGCTTTATCCATGATCTGCTAGTACACTCCATTTCTGTGGCCTTTTTTAATTTGATTGAATATCTCAGGATATTATTGTGTCACGAAAATGTTCACTAATGATTGGGCAGTTTTTGATACCATGATTGTAGCATCAAGTGATAAAGAGTGGTTGATGGTAATGGTGTGGTAATGACCCGTCAGAGTCTAACTGGAAACTGTTTTGAGCCACCTTAAATTAAAGCAATTTTGATTCTGATAAATCTGCAATAGACACTGTTTTTCAGTTTGCAAACTGGCCAAAACATTTGTCATAATTAGAATCTTTACTGACTTTACAATGATTCCTGTTTAAAGAAAGAATCTATTTGGGGAATTCATTCCACTGAGGAATTCATGGGAAGTGTGGTGGCCTCATAGTTAGTGCACTTGTCTCCAGATGGAGCAGTCCGGGTCTAAACCTTGGCTGGGGACGTTGCATTGTGTTCTTGGGCAAGACACTTTACTCTCACAGTGCCTCTCTCTACCCAAGTATATAACTGGGTACCGGCAAACTTAGTGCTGGGGGTAACCCTGTGATGGACTACATGTAGCATCGCGTCCAGGGGGAGTAGAAATACTCTTAGTCGCTTCATGCTGCAGAGGCCGGCCTGGTGGGCCAGTTGGCTGTATGCAGACTTTACCTTACCTTACTGAGGAATTTCTCCATCTATAAATGAACATTCACCAATTGAAAGTATTTATTGTGTTTTTTGAAAGTTAAGTCTTCATCAATACCTTTTCAATGATGCACTCAAGGTCAGTTAAGATCAGTTAAGATCAGTTATTAAGACATAACTTGAATAACAAAATAATACATGACAAAACACTTGAGAGACAAAGAAAATAGAAATAGAAAAATAGCGGCCCAGTTCATCCTTGGCCATATCCTTCAGCCATTTCTCTCGGTAGGTTCTGTTCGGTGGTGCTCAAAATCCTACTATTTTGACACCAATTCTTGGAATTTTCGTTGCTAGTTGGTCTTTTTCTTCTTTGAGTCTACAAATCTATAATCTGTCAGACTTTATCTTGCATGTGTTGTTGGCTTTGCTACCTATAACTTGAGACTCGCACCAGGAATAAATATTACAAGTGAATATATGAAAGATCATGTATTTAAACTGTGGAGAAGTATATGAAGACTTTATTGATCATCGCAGTTATACACACAACTTAAGCAGTTGTGAATTTTTTCAGGCTTTAATTTCACAACTGCTTAAGTTGTGTGTATAACTGTGATGATCAATTATGTCTTCAATAATAAATATTGTTGTAAAGCACAATGCACCATTGTGCAAAAAAACTAATTTTTAATGTAAACAAGTCACACTATACCACAGCCTAGATCTTTTATATATGTGGAGGTTGTGGATACCATGTACAGAACATTCAAACAATGTTGTTCTTTCTAAAGCACCAATATACAGACTGTGGAGAAGCTAAGGCAAGATCATGACAGAATGGAGGGGGAGATCAAGTATGTTCGGCAACATAATTGTCACCCAACTAGTTTAGCTTTTTAGTTATTTTGGGTGTCCCACTACTGTATGTACTGTACTGTTTATTTATATATTTATAATTACAATCTTGTAAATTCTTTTAGTTGTTTACAGTATTAGAAATAAAACTGTTGTTGTTGTTGTTCTTGTAGACTTTTCAACACTACTGCTACATGTAAAAACACTGTTACTGTCATAAATGCATATTAATTTTGTAGAGTTGATTTAAATCACATTTGTGTTATACTTTTAAAGAAAAGAATGAACAAGGAGTGCTGAGAATTTACACACATTACACGCCTGGCATTTGTTAGATGATATTTTCCTATCCAGTGGATAATGTTGTCAGTAAAACCAACTATACTATCCATTGGATACATTGGATAAAATCTTCCATACTTTGAAGACCTTGGGCCTGGACAATATCTTAATGAAATGATTAAAACATGAATTCTTCAAGAAAATTAAATATTTCAATTTCATGCACCTTCCTGTGTTTAAAAGAGTCCTTGATGTTTGTCCAGTCTATTTAGAGCTTTACTCCATAACAATTTTATTGGCCTCCTGCCATGATTGCTGTAGTTTGAGTAGTCAAACTTTCTTTATTTTTAATTTGCATTCTTTTCTAAATCATTAAAGAAGTTGCCTTACTGTTTTCTTTTCTAGTGATGCCAATTCTCGTTACATGGAATTGAGTCAGCAACTGGATAGTGTGCAGGAAGAATTGAATGAAGCCAAGATGGATAAACATGAGAGTGCTCGACATCAGAAGAAGCAGGAACTGCTGGAGAGTATGAAGAGGCTCTTTCCAGGGGTTTATGGCCGACTCATAGATCTCTGTCAACCAGTGCACAAAAAGTTAGTCTAATTGCATTCTTTTAATGAATGGTCCTGGTACTTTATATGTTGTGGCTTGAATTTATTTGCGGTTAAACAATTCTCAAACCAGTTTGATTATCTGAAATGAAAGGAAAGTGACAATCAAACTGGTGCAAAGAAATTTTTCACAGAAAAACACATTTGATCATTGCTATATAGAACCAGGTATTTGCAGTGCTCTGCCCTGCGGACTTTTTTCAACAAGTTATATTTTTTGTAAGAAGTTTCAAAGTCAGTCCTGTTGCAAAATGTTTATATGCTTTTCAGTTCATTCTGGGTCTACGTTTATTTGATTTTTTTATCTGATATTGGTATTCTGTGGTGCATACTCTATACCTTTTTTTACTTTTACTTTTTCAGGTATACCTTTGCAATTACCAAAGTTCTTGGGAGAAACATGGATGCAATTGTTGTGGATACAGAAAAAACTGGAAAAGATTGCATTCAATATTTAAGAGAGCAGGTTTGTAAACAGTTACAGTTGGTGCTTTACTTCTCATTACTACTCAAGAATATATATTTTTTTATACCATACCATTTTGTTGGAACACTTTCTTTTAACTGTTGGCATGAATATGGTAGTAATATTAAGATAGGTAATGTTAGTTATGGCCACTGGTACTTCTACAACCACAGGAACAAGTGGGGTGTCGTAGATGCCCTTAAGAATAATTGAAGGGGTGAGTGCAAAACCATGCTGAGCGACGATTTGGGTGAAAAAAAAAATTTCGCGAAAGGGCTTGAATTTTTGCATATGGTCTTCAATGTAATAGAAAAGTGTGGTCCTGTATTTTTGTCGCTGATTTTCCCTTGGTTTTCAAGTTAAAACATATGTGACCCTATTTTGGAAAAAGTGGTTAAAGGTGAAAAGAGAAAAAC